TACTATAAGGAATTAGAGGATGATGTTTAAGTTTAAGAGTTAAAGTATCAGGAGTAAGGTATAAGAATCATATGGAGTACAATACTTGGAAAAGAGGGTTACAGTACTTAGGAATTAGAGAATGGAAAATGTGCTGAAAAGTTTAAGAGTCTTGGTATCAGGAGATTACAGAGTGGATGGGGATTTGGATTTACCATTAAAATAAATTGAAATAAAAATAAATTTAGTGTTAAATTGTTTATGAAATGTGTTTCTTTTGTATTTATTTATTTATTTTTTTTTTTTTGACATTGAAATTAAAAAGAATAATTTCAGAATTTCAAAGAGGCTTAAGTGACACCGACCCAAAAAGAAGATGAAGAGATGGATTTGCAATTTAGTAATTTTTGTATTATATTTAATCTTAGGAAAATGAAAATAGAATAATGAACTCATCTGTACGTTTAATTATTTTTTACCTATTATTTTTCGTTTTAATAATTGTTTTTTAAACTCATATAACTATAAATACAAATTATTATTTTTATATAATCAAATAATATGTGATTAATCGTGATAAAAGAAATATGATTGTGAATATTTTTATGATATTTTGTGAAAGTGGAACTAATGAGTGTTATTATTTTGATTTTCAGGATGGAGCAGAGTGTTTTAACCGCAAAGGTTTATAGGGTACAGTTAACAAAATTATCAAGCAAAGAGGCTTGCAGCATTCTTCAGAATCATGATCAAGGATTGATCTCAAAAATCCCCCCAGTACGACCAAAAGCAGGCGAGATTTATCTTATATCTAGTGAGGGAGATGACAGAAAAATAAATGACTGGTCTCATGACGGATATCAATGGGTTAACAAAGGAGGAGATGGTTATCCAAGGAAGGAAAAAATAATGTGGAAGAAATATTACAACATAAGTAGCATGCCTGGGGACAAAAATGGCTCAGCTGAGTTCCAGAGAGCATCTTTCAAGCTGGTTGAGAATTCTTCTTTAGTACTCGTACACTACACTGGGGATGAGACTACATATGTGCCAAGACCTCATGGGAATCAAAAATCAGAAACAGGAGACTTTGTGTCAACGTTGCCTTCTGTATTGTCACAGATAAAGGAGAAATCTGTTCAGAACAAACCACAGGAGGTGTACAGAAGCATGCTTTTAGAGAACACTGTTAGTGGAGAATACCAAGGTGTACTAAATCCTAGAAATGCTAAGCAGATTAGGAATATTCAGACGAACATGAACAAGGCCAGAAGGTTATCTCACGATGAAATTTATAACACACTACAACTGGCATACCATCTGGATGATTTCGTGCATCATTTTTCAATTTTTCCTGATTTGCAATGCTTTGTAGCAAACAAAGATCTCCTGCAAGACTTAAATAAAGTTCTTCAAGTCAAATCAGACGAGGTTCCACTTTTGTCATATGACACTACCTTCCTTATTGGGGATTTCTTTGTGTCAGTATTAGTTTTCAAACATGTTTTATTTCAGAGCAACCCATCCATTCCAGTGGCCTTCTACATTCACGACAGGAAATCGGAGGAAATACACCACGACTTTTGGAGGAAAATTGCCACACTTGTGCCAAACATCAATAGGGCGTCAACTGTCATTGTGACTGATAGGGAGAAGGCAGTTGTAAATGCAATTAAGAAAGTAACCCCAAATGCAGCATTAATCCACTGCTGGAACCATATACACAGTGATGCTAAACACTGGATCAAACAACATGGTGGCAAAATAGACGACCAACTTGTCTATGTCAACAATTTGAGGGAACTGCTTCACACTGAAAATGAAGATGACTACAATGAAAAGTTAGAGGAAGTATCACAGTTCTGGAGTAAACCGTTCCTAGAATATTACAATGGGAAACTACACAAGGACATAATTCAGCATTCCTCAAAATGGGTTCTGGAAGAACACAAGGTTTACGACCCTTATTCCGGTGTGACCAACAACATGTCAGAAAGCATGAATGCAGTCATTAAGAGGATGATGCAGTGGAAACAATCTCCATTAGATGCTACAGTACTGGCCTTTAATTATCTACAGAAGTTTTATGTATACGAGACAATGAGAGGACTTTGTAGTATAGGAAATTACAGGCTCAAAAACATTCACTCGGGTGCTGCCGTTGATAAGTGTGATCTAGCCTTCCCAAATGATGTATGTGCCCCAGAGAAAATTGTGGACCTAGTGAAAGGAAAGTTGGAAGAGAATGCTAAGGAAGTTGAAGAAGAGAAAGAACAAGAAGTAGATCTGCCAAATAATGCCACTATTATTGACGAGAAAGAGCAACAGAGTACGACCCAAAGATCCCTGGCAATGGCTGCTGTGAAAGACAAAAGGGTATTCCACGTTCCAGAAGCAGGATCATTTGTAGTGAAAGGTTCTAATGGGGATAATTATAGCGTTTCTTTATTTCCAGAAAAATGCCAATGTCCCTCCGTCGGCACTTGTTACCACATCATGGCAGTGAAAATGAGTATTGGAGAGGAAAATGTTGAGGAAAAACGCATATACAATTTGACACAGCTGCGGAGAAACAACAGGAAAAGGGTAAACAAAAAGGCGGGCACCAAAAAACCAAGGCCATGCGACAAAGAGGTAACGGTCATTGCTGCACCAGATTCCTGCATCAAGAAAACAGAAGAATGGACGGATGATATTTTGCCTTCGCCAGTGGCAACTTTAACACCAGTGTGTGAAAAAATAGATGAGCATGACACAGCTTCAATTCTAAAAAGGAAAAGAAACGACTGCAAACCAACTGCCAGAAAACGCATAAAATTTGAGGACGAGAATTTCCCAGACAAGGTAAAGGAAAAGACACACATTGAAGAGAGTGAAAATCCAGGTGCGGAAAATTGGACTGAAAATGGCAAACACATTCTTACCATCAGACACAAAAATGACATCCAGAACAATGCCATGCTGTGTAGTGATGTAATTAACTTTGCTCAAACCATCTTGAAGGAACAGTTTCCTCAGATAAATGGATTTCAACACACTGGATATGCACCAGTAGTAAAGGAAGGAAATTGGGAGTACAAATTACAGATGTCACCGGAGAAGGCCCCTGTAGCTCAGATCCACCATACTGGTCATCAACACTGGATTGCTAGTCTACAAATGCAGGATGCCGACAAAGTTTTGATTTTGGATAGCTGCAATAAAAAAAGAGATTATATTTCACAATCAACCCAGCTACAGCTCGGGAAGATGTATGGAAGAGAAAAAACTAATTTGAATGTGTCCATCTTGGAGGTCCAACAACAAACAAATGGAGTTGACTGTGGTGTGTTTGCGATTGCAAATCTAACAGATTTTTGCATTGCAGAAGACATCAAGGACCAGCCAATACAGTTTGACACGGAGAAAATGAGGGATCATTTGATAAAATGCCTGGAAGAAAAAAAATTTGAACCATTCCCTAAAAAGCAAAAGCAGAAGAAACGCCTGAGTTTGACAAAGAAGCGAGAAAACATTCAGAAGATCAGTATAGACTGTGCAGCCCGGTGTAGCCTTCCAAATGTGTATGATGACATGATTGTCTGTGAAAATCCATCTTGTGGACAATGGTATCATCTCCGCTGTGTTGGAATCCAGGATCCAAAAGAGAGCCTCATCTTCATTTGCCCATCGTGTGCTAACTGAAGAAATAAAAATGAATTGAAAAATGAATTGTGTTGTTTTTGTTTTTAATGGGAATATCATAGTGCTTTTTTATATTACTTGACAATTGTAAACCGAGTCTGTGCCCTGGTAGGGCGTTGTAGAAATACAATAAGAACGGTTTGCATGTAACTATGTAAATATAGTGCTTAGAAACATTAAAATGAAATAAAAGCATTAAAACCTGTCTTTTCTTTTAATACTTATTTTTTTAATTAGTATTGCATAAAATCTTAGTGCTTTAGAAGTTAAGAAGTTTGATTGAAAGTCAGATGAAATATAAACCGAGTCTGGACCCTGGTAGGGTGTTGTATTTTATACAATAAGAACGGTTTATGTTTTAAGTTTTTTTTTTTAAATAAAACATTAAATTATGTTTGCATGCATAGATATTGTATATATCAAAAGGAGGGATGGGGGTGGGTATACAATAGGCTCAAATGAGGATACCTCCGCGTGGTTTGGGCTGGGCAATGTCACGAAAGTGATAGCTAACATCCTCTGATAAGTATTCCGGAAATAAAAGATTCGTCCCGGGTGAACGTTTCCGGTTTTAACCAATCCCGGGTATTCAAAAAATGCTCATATTCTTAATAATTGGGATTTATTACTGAAACAGTTAGACGTTTTAGGTAGTTTAAGTTCAATTTCAAAGACCAAAAAGAAATAATTGTAAATATGTTGCCGAAATAAAATTTAAATCGCCAAAATGAGTAATCCGGGCTCGCTACCCATATTAGTCACCTGGAAAAGGACAATCGGCGATAATCATTGAAAAACACAACATTTTGACTTAAAACTCTCAGCAAAGGCAAAACGTATGGTTATAAACCATGTCTGTAAATTTCATGAAGAAAGAATGAGTATTTATTTCGTATATTATCAAAAACCCGGTTTTGAGTTTCGAAATTCCCGGCCCGGCCCGGGTTTCGCTACCCATTTTAGTCACACTCCTATATATTTACAAACTTAGTTACATGTTGAATTGGAAATTTTTAAGAACACTATAATTAAAGAAAGAAATCCGGACCGCTATGAAATACGTCCGGTCTATCGGATATGCTCTGGTGAAGTGCGATTTACATAATTGAACGAATTAATATTTTAAAATATCCCTGCTGTATTATGTTTCTTTGATTATTCTTTATCAAGTATAGTTACGCCACATTGTGAGAATGAAACAATGTACGATTTACTGATTGTCGTAATTAATCAGCATAATTAATTCGTTCAATTATATAAATCGCACTTCACCTAGTGCATATCTATTGTTGTGATCCATACCTGATCTCCGTGATCCCAATGTATGAATGACTTACCTAGTGACGTCTGACCATCATCAGCGTCTCATTTACGGACGTTCCATTCTTAATCGGAGGATTCCAGGGCTTTTTCCAGTAATCCTTACCCCAGGGACCGTTGAGGAAGGCATGGTGGCATATGTTGAACCACCAGCCGCCTAAATTACCACACCTTCCTCTGCTCCAGTTATCATTGTCCCTGTCGGGGGTACTGAAATACATACCGTGCAGGTCAATGTAATGTAATCCCGTGTTTGTCATCCTGTTACCTGAAAAATGGAAAGAAAAAACGCAGTAAATACGTACTACGTCAGACCACATCAAGTTGAATTCTGTTCCTTATTTTATATCAAGCTTGTGTCTTCCCACAAATTTTTATCAAAATAGAAAAAAAAGTCATAACACCAAATTTTCTATTTTAATAAAAAATTGTGGGAAGACACTTGTAACACGACATTTAATTGGTAAGTAAAGGCCCTTTCACAATTGGCGCACGAGCACTTTACAACACTTTGCGATCGGAAACTTTTAGCGTCGCACGAGCTATCGCCGAACTCTCGCATATGTTGCACGAAGTTTCGCATTCATTGCATGCGTTTCAGTGGTCGCATCAATTCTCCTCAAAATAGTCGACATGCACACTATTCAGACGCGACCAAATGCGATCCACATTTATCGCAAATCAACGCACGAATATTCGTACGAGCGTCTCACAACGTTTTGTGTACTCGCAAGAGTGATGCACGATTTTTAAAGGTCGTAAGATGAATCGCAGCTGTATATGCGTTTGTTGTGCGACCATGAGACTGTTGCTCAACGTGTCTCGTGTAATCTTGCAACGTTTTACTATGCATGATTTATCAGCTTCAATTTCCCATTCTTTATCACTAGTATATGTAAACCCTGTCCTCATCCTCCCTGTACCCATCAGGTTCTAAAAGCTCAACTGGCTGGTCTGGTGGGTCTGCCCCCTCGAAAAGTTCAGAAACGGTTGATATATATATATATATTCCCCTTCTCACTCGCACGATCATTCGTACCATAAAACACATGATTGCACGAGCGCCTTATGTCCAATCGCATTGGTGCACGTTCAATCGTCCGATCACCTGATCACTCGCGCGATCCTATGGCATTATCTTACAACACTCGCTTTCATTGCACAACAGTCGCCTATAGACGCAAGATATATCGTAAGATTTAATGCACAAGGGTCGCTTTAGATCGTGCGAATTTCGTACGAATACTTTTTCATATGCGATTATTTCTGCAACAGTTTACGATCCAAATCAAAGTTTTTCGGTCGCACGAATATTTTGTCGCTTCTGCTCGTGCGCCAATTGTGAAAGGCCCTTTAGCCGAGTACTCCCCTCTTGGACCGGGGGTAAATAACATGGCCTCACAATGCATGGATTCTATAACTAATAATATGAGGTCATGATACATTGTAAACACCACTGATTGACCTTGGGAGTAACAAAAAATTATTTGGTAACTAGTAACATAGAAAATGAATTCGTTTTCCTGGTCCATTAAAGGTGTACGGGGATTTGGTCCGGGTTCAATTCCATATATCCTTCAGCCTCGAGCACTCATTCATATATAGTATTTGATTGCCTGTTTACAGCTCGGACTGTATATAATACAAAACTGTTTTAATAATTGTATTTTATTACAAAATTTATCACATGGACAAAAAAGAAACTTGCACTTATATCTGATCTAAAATATGATGAATTTAAGATCGATGCCTCTTTTATGAAAAATAAAAGTTTCCCAAGATACGGTATCAAAAACCGTATTTAGTCAGATTTTTTTAACACATTTGAATAATAAGTACTACATTTAAATTTTTTTTAAACCAATTTCTGTCGCTAATTCTGTATCAAAAAGAGACCTGTTGCTTTGGCCTTCAATTCATTCAAAAAAAATTAGCGCCTTGACGTTTTATACGTAAAAAACATTTAATGTTATTCATACTTGGATTTGAAATATCCTATTGAACTAAACTACACAACTGAATTTTTCCTGTATGGACATATTCCTAACGAACGTCATTGAAGGTAGACTAACGACTAAATATTATGATAAGCACGACAGATTTCTTTTTTTCTGTGGTCAACTATTTTTGAGCTGTATACAATTATCACCTTCATGAAAGTTTTATGTCTTTAAATTGATTCTATACCCAAAACGCATGCATGTTCCATAGCTTCTTAAAAGAGGCATACGCTCTACAAATAAGTTAATAGTACAAGGGTATCTACACACACACTCTCTCTCACACACTCTCTCTCCCTCTCTCTCTCTCTCTCACTCTCTTACTTTAATTTAGTCACTTTTTTACATGGATCTTAAATAGGGTTCCTGTTGCGTTTCCTGCCAGAGAGAGTCGATACATTGCTGCTTCAGAGGAAATGGAGAATCGCTCGTACAATTCATACAGTTTTGTACCATTCAGTATTGTGATGGATACATAGAGGTAGGATTTCTTTCCCTTTACTAACTTATAGATTACATCATTTCCTGTAGCAATGTATATATTGAATTATATTTTATTTCATATGTGTATGGACAATAGAAAGTTTTCATTAACAAGTTATTTCTCGTTGACTCTTGGGGGGTCAACTTGGTAATTTTCCCTCTTTGTCCTACCAAATATAAGAGGGTGTAGCAGATATATTTGAGGGAAATCTTTATGGAATACACATTTTGAAATAAAGTAGGCTCTAACAAATGTATATTTTTCAGAAAAAAAAACAATGCTTACCAGCCCAAAATTGCTAGTTTAAAAAGTTAAAATTGGTTGAATTTTGAAGGAATATGAGCCTATTGACCCCCAATATGGCGGCCGACGGGAAATTATTCTTGTTAATTTGGGTCTACTGGAAACCATCTATTCCCGTAATTTCTTTAATTTTAAATTATCTGCAAGAAATTTTCTTGGATGATTTTAAATTATTATTTTTATTTCTATTTTTTTTTATTGTTGTTGTTTTCTTTCCTGATTATGTTATGACTTCATGACCCAATAAATGATTACATTAGGATTAGTTTCGTCGAATAGATTTATCCAAACCAAAAGAACAACTTTTTTTCACCTCCAATTTTTAATATTTCTATAACTTGTTGTAAATCGAAGATCAAGTTTGTATAAATTTCATATTTACCAATCCAGAGGTTCTGATCTGGTGTACCGAAACCATTCTTATATTCTGCCCAATTCCTTATGAAGTCCAAAGACCCATCTACTCGTTTCTGAATTACATAAGAAAGACATCAAAATGCATTCATTCAGTTGTTATGGTGAGGATCTAAAAAATAAGTTCATAATGTTTCAAAATTTTATGAACAACGTACATCAATCTTTGCAGTTTTCTATACTTATGATGGATGCTACCTGGTAGATAAAAAAAGTCGCTTAATATGATTTTTTTTAATTTTTAGCCAATTATCTTTTTAGTTTATAATTAGATACCGTCCCCCCTCCACCCATTGTCAACATGTCGCAGTAAACTTTGATTGGACAATTCCTGGCCCCATAGAGGTAAATCTCGTACAAGCCGGAAGTAGTGTGACCATCTTCACGAAAGTCTTTACAGTCCATGGGAAGAGCTGGAACAGAAAAAAAAATACTGAACTGAAATATTATTGTGAAGCGATAACAAACGGAGGTCGATCTCAAAAATCTATAAGTAATTCAAATATATGAAGAGGGAATAAATCTTGGACACCTGGGAATTCCAGAAGTGGGGTCGGGCACAAGAATTCAGATTTCAGAAGGTGATACAGTTTGATAACCACATTAATCGTGATAGCAAGATACTGCGTATATAAACTAGTACCTATGTTGCAACGTTTTTGAATATACTATATTAAAAATATTTACATTCAGTGTATTTTTCTTTATGAAATCCGTTAGAAATGAAAGACGTTCAAATACCTATAGCACACGCGAAACCTTGTCACCGCGCGTTAGAATACACAGAAGGAACTATATGCATTTTCAATAATTTAAGAACACCAAAATGTACATTTTTTAAACATAATTTAATTTTTAAAAAAACTCTGTTAAATTAATGTAAAAATACAACAAAATGTGAAGGTATATTATAATGTTTCCGTCTTTTTCCTTTTTAAAAAATCTTTTTGCCATTTCCCTGTCCTTTTCTATTGTTCTACGCGGTCGATTTTACTGCTTTGTATTATTTATTTTGCAAAATCCGATTTCATTAGCAATAAATGATAAAAGAAATATTGAAAACATAAAATAATTGTTTGTTGGTATCAATACTTTGAATAATAAAACCAATTTGGTTTCTTAGAGGGATACTAAGTTTGAAGAAAAATCAAACAATAATTCAAAGAATTAATATTAGAAATCTCTTCAAGTGCTGTAATAACTAGACTAATGTAATTTATGGTGTGTCTTTTGTATATTTTAAAAAATTAAAATTTTTTAAAATGTATACAAACGATGAGAATAATATATTTACTTCCAACTTCATCGGACATTACAGTGTACAAATCTTTCGGTGGATTCGGCATTTCTTCAGAAGAGGGTTGTATCCGATGAAACCACAATTCCCTTGACACATCGTGGAACAAACTAACAATGACTGAGCATTGTAGTCTCCTAAAAGTTCGTTATCAAACTTTTTATTATCAAGTTCTGGGTTTGCAGTAAAATTCCATGAAACATCAGCAGCTTGGGTCCAGGTAAAGAGGAAAATATTTAAACAGAAGCCACAAATGATGCTCACATTGAACAGTGTGTTAAACACAATCTAATGCGCTACTACGAGAAGCTGATCCTTCTGCTTCTAAGTACAAATATAAATATCAGAGCTTAAATGTTTTACGGAAAACTATTGGCTAACTATTGTCTATTCTGCATTTTAGCGCCGCCGACATATCGATTTTGAATTTTAAACATTGGATTCTAGCTTTGAGACAGGGCTAATTATATTGAAAAGAAAACGGATTTCATACGGATTGTTAGTCCTTTGCTTTTATAGTTAATTTAAATACTCATTACTCAGTGTCAGTTGAAATGGATTATTTTCTCCTCCTAGACTCCTGATTCTACCTTTGGAAACTGATTTCTTGGGTTCGTATTTTGCCCTGTTCACAGATGTTCACAGATGGAATATGACAAGCTTTAAAATCCAATTAAACAATACAAAAAAAAACTACAAATCAAAAATGACCTGAAAAACAGGATTAGGTGCCTCTTGGCCTGGCACTCCCGTCGTGTGCTTCTTGACACACACAGACAGACAAAAAATCCGTACATAATTCAGTGTAAAAGTAATTGGACAAAACTTAGATTTAAAAATTAAAAAAAAGAAATACTAGAGAACAAAACATTGAGGTTAAAAATACAAGCTTTTCACCGAAAAGTATTTATAGGATCTGTACCTAAAGTTGTAAACTTAAAGAAAAAAACAGATCACCAACACAGCGGCAGTACATTAATTTTGTTGACATGTTTCGACCAGGGACGGTAGTTATCAGAACAACCAAGCATAGAAATTCATCTACCAAAAATAAAAAAAAATTAGTTTAAAAAAAAAACTCAGCCAGCATTTGACTCAATGATAAATTGTATTTGCTGGCACGGTCATTGTTTTGACTATAGAACTTACGAAATGATGACTTTGAACGAGACTGTTGATATTCTTGTTTCATCAACTTGTTTATACGTAGAGCATACTCTTGGGTATCGATTCAACTGAAATATTCAAACTCCGTATACAGGTTCTGAAGAAATAATGCTGCATAAGTAAGGGAAGTTAACGATAGAAAAGTGAAAGTCATCATTAATCATAGAGCTTGGTTGTTAAATTACCATAAACGTCCTTTTCAAATAAAATATCCAAGTATGAAACAGATGTGTCAGACTCTGTGGTATATATCTTTTATCTCAAGCTCGTTAGGATATATCGTATCGACATAGGAATGAAAATTATCATTGTTATTTGACAATACGTCATCGATATATCTAAATATCGAGTTGAAGGCCACAGCAAGTGTTTTCTTCTTTTCACGCATAAGATTTTGCACAAATTCTGCTTCATATGAATATAAAAAAGGTCTGCTCATAACGGAGCGCTACTGGTACCCATGGGAATTCCAATAGATTGTTTGAATACACATGATCTCCAAAAACATAGATATTGTCAATCAGAGACTCAAGCATCTCTTTGATGTCAACTTCAGAGTACTTATGTGTGCAATCAAAATGTGTTGCAAAATGAGTGTAGAATCAGCAGAATTTTAATAAATCAATTTTGTAGTGAAATATTAATATTCAATGTCCATTTATTTTTTTTATACTGAAATTGACTACAAAATGTTCCGTCTACCTGATTCATACAAAGAACCTCGGCGGGTGTGAGCGTTCACAGGGGATGCTTACTCCTCCGCAGTACCTGATTCCATCTCTTAGTGAATGGCTTCAAGTATGAGTATCTATTCGTCCTTTTTATCTCAGTGCCGTATTTAAGCATCAGTAATTCATTCTTAGCAATGGTCTTTAAGATCAAGTATTTATGCACAGTCTATTTATTTATATTTAAAATTCTACCGCAGCAACGATCTTTAAAATAAAGAATTGATGTACAGCCTACAAAAATAAGTTTTTAAACATCTGAAGTAAGCAAACGTAATAAGAGTCACTCCTTCATAGACAGAATTTTTTTATCTTTAATCTTAGTGTCTTATTTGTAATCTGCAAAGAGAATTTTTACATCTGATGTAGGCATCTTTTTTAGCGAAAGTGTAAAATATGTTTTTCTGAGCAATTAGTCAGCATTAATATTAGATTTGAAAGGAGCAGGAAAAAATTATAACATAATGGCATAAATAAGAAAGAACTACTTACTTGAATGCAAAAAATGAAATAAAAGAGAATTTCCAGTCTTAATGGAAACAGATACGAAAAAAGACATTGACACCTTGTCGGAATTGATTGAAAGTATCAGATCCATGTAAAAGTCACGTATAAAAAAAATTGAGGGGCAATATGAAAACCATCTATCCTTCTGTGTTTAATAATCCAGAAGTGAAAGAGGAACTGGATAGATTACATGATCAGTACGTACTGGTCCCTGCCGACAAAGCAGGTAACAACATTGTCTTCGTTTGTAAGGCTCATTTTATAAATTGTATTTTAGAAGAACTTGGGTTTAATTCTGGTAATCCTACTTATACTCTTACTTCCCTTTCTAAGGAAGAAATTCTTTAAAATCATATATCGGTTTTAAATATTTTTAATATTCCACAGAGCCAAAATGAATTTGAACTACCATATATATATATTGGATTCGGAAACATCAAAAAAATACTTACAAACAAAGATACATTGCGGGTTCGAGCAACAAAGCCTCTTTCGTTACTCCTCACTAAAATATTGACAGTAGTTAAGGGAAAGCTTCAAGAGTACTGTGCAACAATATATTCAAAAGTGATGTGAATCAAATGTGGATACTCAAGAACTTTTGGACAATTTGAAATCACAAGATTTTACCAAAATCAACATCTTCGAAACTTATGACTTTTCAACTACACAACCATTCGCCATGATAAATGAAAGTCCAGGCTTTATGACATCATTGACAGCTGCTTTTTTTAAAAATAAAAATAGAACTCGTAAATTTACTTATCTGGTCATTGGTCATTTGCAAAATTATTTTGTTAAAACACATTCTGATTGCACACACAAGTACTCTGAAGTTGACATCAAAAAGATGCTTAAGTTTCTGATTGAAAATATCTTTGTGGTTTTTGGAAATCAATGACATGTACATGTATTCCAAAAATCTATAGGAATTTCCATGGGTACCAATTGCACCCCGTTATGAGCAGACCTATTTTTAGACGGTGGCTCTATATATCCACTGGCTATTCCTGCTGGTATGGGCTATGAATAAACAATAGTGTAAACACACGGGGACCCTAGCGGAGATTTTTGCAGAGTCAAAACAATAAAAGTAGACTTGTTCCGGTGTTTGAAAATAAAATGTACACAGTTATCAAATACGTTCAATTTATTTCAGAGACTTTTCGTAGATGGAATCAAAGCCTAATTCCTGATATTTTCTGTTACCAATATTTTTCGCTTCGTGAATATTCATTGTATTACGCTGAAATACAACTAACTCGCACACAAACGGACTCGTTTAGTCGTATGGTATGCAAACAACAGAAATCAATTCGTACACAATGTTTTCGTTTTTTTTTCTCACACGTGCAAAGGTACACATATTGTGTTAGTTTAAAATTACAATAATATTTAGTTAGAATATTTGATGAAAAATATTTGTAGATAATTGTTTCACTTTCTAAATCCAAAATCAAATAATTAAGGTCTTCCGTCTCCAACGGAAGACCTTCTTGTTATTCTTCGGTTTCTTTTTCCCTATTATTATTATTCTTACCGATTTTGTGCACGCGATTTCTCGTAAACTACTGGGCCGATTCTCATGAAACTTTCACATCTGATAGGTACTGATCTGAACCTTATTGGAAATTTTTTTCGTTGACGTCGTCACTTCCGGTCGTGAGATATGGCCAATTTTCTAATTTTAAAATGCAATTTTGTCTTGATTACTTAGCGAAAACTGCTTAAGATATGAAGTGAAGATTAATTGGAGATGATAGTTCATAATCTATAGCGTTGCAGAATCGCCTTTTCGTGCGTTGTCAGTACTTCCGGTCGATACCGGAAGCGAATTTAAAAAACGCAATTTTTCAACTTTTCTTTTTTAATATTTTTGTTTTTGATTTGAATAGAGACCCTTTTGCAGAAGCGAAATATGTAATTTGTTTGAAAATCGAAAAAGCCAATCTCGAGATATTTGCATTTGAAAACGCGAAGCGGCGATCCCAATGGCTAAATGGTTAGCGCGTTGGATTGTCACGCGGGCGACCCGGGTTCGATCCCCCAAATGACCAAAAAATTTTATCATTTTTTCTGCTCGAATTTTCGATATTATTTAATTTTAGACCATTTGGAACAATATAATTTAAACTTTTAAGCATATCTTGCGTAATTAGGGGTCACAAGGGGCCAGAATGTCACATCTTTGACGCTTTATAACTCGAAAAGGGGGAATATTCTGATAAGCAATATTGAACAAATGATGATCAGAATAATGTTCTAAACAATATGCATACTTTGAATTTTTGTAAAACGGCCCCATTAAGGACTTGTAGGAGTGGCCCTTAAATATTTTCATTTAGCATAGCTCAACAACGAATAGAAATCTCTGAATAAGTGTTGAACAAAAAATCTTCAAAATCACAAGACCTTTCATTTGATATCAAGAAAAAGGGGCTGACCCCTCAAATTAGGGGCTCAGAGGGGCCAAAAGTCTTTTATCTATAACTCTCTTATGATCAATAATTTGTTATAAATTACTGAAGCAAAAGTATTCATCTTAACGATTTGCAACAATAAATGATACTATTTTGATAATATGTTACGTAATTAGGGGTCACAAGGGGCCAGAATGTCACATCTTTGACGCTTTATATCTCGAAAA